CCAATTGAAAATTTGTGGCGAGAGGTTAAAGTGGCTCTTAGAGGAAAAAATCCAACAAATAAAGATGCCCTTTGGAAACTAGTGAACGACGCATGGGAGCAAATATCAGCTGCTAAGTGCCTGAATCTAGTGGATTCGATGCCCAGGCGTTGCTCAGCAGTTATAAAAAATAAAGCATACTTCACTAAATATTGAAGTAAGATTTAACATAGTTGCATCGTTTCTTTTAATTATTTCATAAAAATTTTTGATTTCAGGTCATGAGATACGACTGAAATTGAATAATTACCTTTGGCTCTATTTCAAGTCACAGCCGAAATAAGAAATACCAATGAATTTTAAATTTTTTCGTTTATGTTTTAGACTTAAGCTGTTTAATTTGTTTTTTAATATACGTCTCATAGGTTGTTCTTTTTTACCTATTAAAGAAATAAATGAAAAAAGTGAATTTTTATATGATTTGTTAATTTAAATAATTTCGATAGTAMTGGCTCTATTTCATCGCACATCACTGTATAATATCCACCCATAATTTATTTTAAAATCTACATTTTTAAATTTATAACATTTTTTTAACATTTACTCCACATTATTTATATTTTAAATATGTAGAACAAAAAACCGGTAACATGATTTTTGGCATTTTCTTTACTGACAGTTTCGCTGTCAAAATTACAATCAACCGTGAAAAAAGTGAGAAACTCCAATGAGGTTCTCTTCTGTGTTGGATTTTTGTGCGGTGTTCGCTAGTGATTTTAATCCGTGAAAATCGTGAATAAAAATTTATTAATCAAATAAAAAGTGAACAAAATCATATAGCCAAAAGAACAATGGCTCCGAAAGCAAACTTCGTTCCGGTTAAACCAAAAGGTCAAGCCTTTAAAGATAAATCAAAACCGGCTGATGTGCGTCTATCAAATATTCAGGCAGCAAAAGGTTAGAATATTATAAAATCTTGGTTTATTTAGTAAAGATTGATTTGTTTTACAATCAACGACAGAAATTATATGTAAATTGTGAAGAAAATGAGTATAGAACTTTATATTTAATGAAAAATTGTACCAGTTGGTTGATGAGCAACAAAAAATGCAATGGCGACGCAAAACCACCACAGCACAGCTGTCTAGAAAATTCCTTTCTTGTTTTCTATAATAGGGTGTGTGTCAAAGTGATTCATACGAAATGCATTTAAAAATATGGAAAATCAAGAAAATATGCCTGTATATTAAAAATAAATAAAATGTATGCAAAATTTTTCATATTCATATATTTTAGTGACGTCATTATTCAATATCATTACTCATTGTAACACCAACAAATATATATTTTCTTTGTAGCCGTTTCGGATGCAATTCGCACCAGCTTAGGTCCACGCGGTATGGACAAGATGATTCAAGCCGGCAATGGAGAAGTATCCATCACAAATGACGGTGCTACCATTCTAAAACAGATGAATGTACTCCATCCGGCTGCAAAAATGTTGGTAGAGCTATCACGTGCTCAAGATGTTGAGGCCGGTGACGGTACAACTTCAGTGGTTGTCATAGCTGGTGCTTTATTGGAAGCGTGTGAAAAGTTATTGCATAAGGGTATTCATCCTACTGCAATTTCCGATTCGTTCCAACGTTGTGCAAACAAAGCTATTGAAATTCTTACGGATATGTCAACACCAATCGAGTTAACTGATAGAGATACACTCATTAAAAGTGCATCAACTTCATTGAATTCAAAAGTAGTTTCTCAACAGAGCAGTCTATTGGCTCCCCTCGCTGTGGATGCTGTACTCAAAGTAACAGAGCCAGGAAAAGAGGGAGCTGTTGACTTGAAAAATATTAAAGTTATCCGCAGTCTTGGTGGCACTGTCGAGGATACCGAATTGATTGAGGGTTTGGTGTTTACTTCGCGTTCAGCTGGAACAAATGCACCAAAGCGCATTGAAAAAGCAAAAATTGGCTTGATACAATTCTGCATTTCGGCACCAAAAACTGACGTAAGCGTTATTTAAAATTAAATAACATGCTCTCATAATAATTAAAAAATACATACTTTTCTAGATGGATCACAATGTTATCGTGTCAGATTATGCTGCTATGGATCGTGTATTGAAAGAGGAGCGTGCATACATTTTAAACATTGTAAAGCAAATCAAAAAAGCCGGCTGCAACGTACTTTTGGTACAAAAATCAATTTTAAGGTATATAACATGACAATTTGCGTGAAATGAGATCCTACTTTTGAATCTATATGCCTATTTTAGAGATGCCGTTTCTGATTTGGCTCAACATTTCCTGGACAAAATCAAGTGCCTTGTAGTCAAGGATGTTGAGCGTGAAGACATTGAATTTGTCTGCAAGACACTAAATTGCCGTCCTATTGCATCGTTGGACCATTTTGTTGCTGAAAATCTGATAAATGCTGATTTAGTCGAGGAAGTGCCAAGTGGTACTACGAAATTCGTAAAAATTACGGGCATACAAAATCCGGGACGTACAGTATCTATTGTTTGTCGGGGTTCTAACAAATTAGTGCTTGAGGAGGCGGCACGTTCATTGCATGATGCACTTTGCGTAGTGCGTTGTTTGGTCAAGAAGCGTGCACAAATTGTTGGCGGTGGTGCACCAGAAATAGAAATGGCTTTACAATTGGCTGCCTATGCGCAAACCGTTGAAGGTGTTGACGCTTACTGCTTCCGTGCATTTGCTGATGCACTAGAGGTTATACCATCGACTTTAGCTGAGAATGCTGGTCTTAACCCGATTGCAACTGTAACAGAGTTGAGAAATCGCCATGCACAAGGAGAGAAGACTGCTGGTATTAATGTGCGCAAAGGTGCTATCACCGATATTCTGGCTGAAAATGTGTTACAACCACTGTTGGTCAGTATTTCGGCAATTTCATTGTCTACAGAAACAGTGCGCTCCATTCTAAAGATTGATGATATCGTAAGTAGTGGATTTTATTCTCATATGTACCTTGTCTTAATTTCTAATGTTTCACTTTTCTGTATTAGGTTAATACCATGAGTTAAATTTATCTCAAACAAACATTGGAAGGAACTTATGGACTACTAAGCCAATACATTGTGAAGTCTATTACATTTTTTGTTCGCATTAATCATTAATTTTATTTGAACTTAATAAGTACATATGTATGTTTGTTGGTTAAAGAACCGCAAACTGTTCATTCAATTTCGATACTACATAAACAAAATATACTTGCTGCTTTGATTAAACTACATACTAAATTTTGTGTTATTAATGGGGTTACTTCAACGAAATATTTCCGAAGAATACTCTAAGCAGAGTAAAGGTATATATGCCCCTGAGTCAGAATAATGACATTTGCTATAAATTCATACTGCCGAAAAGCAACATAACAGCTGATTGCATAGTGAGAAGAAAAAATATAAGATTAGTTTTTTACTATTATTAATTCTATAATTTCGCATTAATGTAGCCAAATTCAATCAGATGCGATGATTAAAAAATATATATTTAAATTATTATTCTTTACTAATATAATAAAGTTAGAATTTTTTTAAGTCGTAATGCATTAAAATAATTTGTACGATAAATTAAATATTTTAAATAGAATAAATTGATGTGTGTGTTATAAATATTCAGATACTTTGTCATTAAAGGGATTTTTTATTCCCGTTTTTCGAATACTCCTAAATACAACATTGAGTTTAACTAATTGTCAAACTTATTTACCATCATAAAGTGATTTACATACACCTGCATCGCTCTACATTTTCATAATTCGATCACGAGCACAACAAAATAAATTTGATTACATTGTAATCTAAACAATGTTTAATATTATTATTAATATAATTTATAAACATAATAACACAAATTTTTAAGTGATCATGTCAAATACTTTTGAAGATTGCAGCGGCTATCTTCCTGATGCCGAATGGCAATTTTGGTGTAGGCTTTGTGCTAAGGAGGATGTACGAAATATCAATATATACCCGGAACAAAACAAAACTGAGTTGGCCATAAACTCCACTCTGATAGACTTTATAGCGGAGTTTTTTAAAGTTCATGTATCTATTTTGATTGTCATTTTCTATTCAAAGAATTGAACTATTTTTATATATTATTTAGATACGACAAAACGAAGATTTACCACATTGGCTTTGTGCACAATGCTTTTCATCGGTATC